TTAGAAACACATGTTCAGTTCAGAAAGCAGTCGGCTGCTGGAGAGGTCTCTTTCCAGAATGAGCAGAGTGCTATCCAGCCTTTGTTAAGACTTGGTCATAAATGTGTGCGTTCGGCACCCCACGTGATGCTGTGGACTGAGCCGGAGCTGGGAGAGGCCAGGGCGGGGGGCACCCATCCGAATGAGACGTCGCTTTTTCATGCCTGTCTCTGCTGTGATGTGGCGGGCTGCTTTGGAGCCTTCAGCTGTCCACGGCACTCATGCACAGACTCCCCAAGGAGACCCACTGAGGATATTTGGGTCAAGCAGTATCTAGTTCATTCTTTTTCCTCTGCCTTCCACTAGTGCAACAAGTCTGGGTGTTGAGGGAGTAATGGATATGTTAAAATGGATTATAGTAAAAGACAGAATGATCACTGTCCTATATGTATCAGAACTGCCTTGTTAGGACCCCAGAATGGCAATTATTTTTGGCAAAATTAGGGTTCCCAAATGGCTGGCATCTAATGGCTGGCAGGAATTTGGGTGCATAGCCCACAGTGCCTGTCATAGATAGGCTCAGCCTTCTTTTATTCACCCAATACTTAAATTGTTCAGTGCCAGTTACCAGGCCTTGTGCAAGGCCCTGGGGATGGCAGAGAATTAAGATGCTCAAGTACTCATCAGTCAGCCAGAGAGGAAAGGTCTGAACCACAGAAAGAGCCCCCAAAGGTCCATGTTGCTTCCTGGTGCAGAGGCAGGACTGTTCAAGCCTGCTGGACCAATCCAAGAAGGCTTCATGGAAGAGGTGGTTTTGAACTGGGACTTCAGGAGTGGGTGCCGTTGTGAGGGTGCTTCCAGTGAGGGTGCTGGAAGAGGCCATTTCAGGGGTGCACATGGCAAAGGCACGAAGCCAGGGAAGTCACATGAGAGCTGGGTACCAGTGAGCATACTGATGGCAGCCAAAGGAGGCGGGGGCTCAGAATGTCAGGCCGAGGACAGTCAGTCTGATTTTTACGAGAAGTGGAGAACAATGGAAGATTTTTGAGCAGAAAATAATATGATGAGAATGCTTTCTAAAGAGCATTCTGGAAAAGGTGTGAATGAAGGATCCAAGCGATATTTCAAAATTAGAATCAGCTGGGCCTAGCAACAAATTTGTGTGTGAAAGATTGGGAGGGGGTGACCAAAGGAGAAGGAAGAGTAAAATAGGACTCCGTGTGCCTGGATGAGGGAGAACAAGGGTGGATTTCAGAGGCAAAGGGTGATTTGAAGGGTTGGTGGGGACAGGGAAGAAAATAAGGGCCAGTTTGGGTGGCCTGTGCTTTGCCATTTTAAGATGCTTTGCTGACTGTAACTTATCGATGGTTGAAGGACAGAGGAAAATTGTTTCCCCCTGAGTTTTGAATGGAGAGACATATGCTTGGGCTGAAAGGAAGAAACTAGTGGGGGAGGAAGGAAAGAGAGGTTGAGAAGAGAGAGGAGTGATGTCAGATGGAGCCGATCCAAGAAGAGCGGGGAAGGGTGGGTGGGGCTCAGGCAGAGGCGTGTGCCCTGGAGGCAGGCCAGCTTCTGAGCCGGGGAGACAGTGTCCAGAGAGGAGGAGGAAAGAAAAGGAAGATGAGGAGTTGACTCAAGTGTGCTTGGATTAGAGGGGAAAGGTCAGAAACAGGCCCTCAGTGTCTTCTACAATTATATTTTATAAAAATAAGTAAAATAACACTGAGAAGCTCATAATGAAAACCAGCTCTCCTGCCCCCTTCCCCATCCTTCTTCCCACGCCCCAGAGGCAGCCACATGTAACTCTTCCAGCTGTTTCTTTTCTTTGGTACTTACCTCTGTATTTCTAAATTGATTTATCAGCTTTAGACATTGTGTATTGACTCCCCTTCCTCCCAATTCCCAACAGAGTTATCCTACAGTCAATATGCAATGTCTACGCTATGCTGAGCTCAATAGCTCTCTAAGATTGTGTTACTTTCCTTTTTACTTTTCTCCTACGTGTTGCTTATACCCTATGTGTCTATTTTGGAGTCTTCCTACCCTTCAACAGCCTCTTAATACAATTTTCTATATCATAAAAAGTATCAGATCATTTGTCAGTTCCATTTTTTAAAAAATTGACCTCCTTCCTGGAATTCTTGTTCTTTCTGATCTAACCCGGACTGGTTATTCTCTAGACTTTTGCAATAAGGCTTTCAATCTGAGCCTGCCTTCACTACCATCCTAGAAATGTCTTTAACCTCTCTCCGCTTTCTTTACTCTCTGTTGCTTTTTCATTTTACTCCCTTGTTTCAGCAGTGCACATTTCCCAATACCTTTTTAAGAAAGGGTGCTTGAGACATAGCATTTTAAAATTTTTAAAGTATTGCCTGTCTAAAAATATCTTTATTCTTCTCTTGAAATTGATGGGTATTTTTGCTGGGTATAGAATTCAAGGTTGACCATTATATTCTATCAATATTTGACATTGTTCCCTTCTCTTCTAGTTTCCAATACTGTTGAGAAGCCTGGTGATGCCTTCCTGATTTGCAATTTTTATATTTTTTTTCCCTTGAAGTTTGTAATATCTCCTTTTTATCTTCACTGTTCTGAATGTGGCTTGGTTTATTCCTTTTATTCAATAATTGTGCTGGGGTCTTTCATTTCCTTCAGTTCTGGGAAGTTGTGTGTTTATTTGATAATTCTCTCCTTACCACTCCATTACCCCTACATACCAGTTTTTCTGATCTCTCTTTTTCTGGAAGGACTTCCTAGGTTGACCCTTTAATTTTCTTATGATTTCCTTCCTGTTGTTCATCATTTTGTCATCATCTTCTATCTTCTGAAAGATTTCCTTGATTTTTGTCTACCAGCCCCTTTCATTGAAATCTGATTTTGGCAAGTGCCTTTTTAATCAGCAAGGGCTCACCCTTATTCTCTGACTATCCCTTTTGTATGGCAAACAATTCTTGCATCTTGGATGCAGTGTCTTCTGCTTCTCTGAGGGTAGTATGTGTTTATTTTCTTGCACTGTGTCTGTCTCTTTAGAGTTCCTTTTCATTAGTTGGTGTGACTTGCTTTGGTCCCTGTCGTTCACACTGGCGGCTTTCCTCCTATGTCAGGTGATTTTGACTTTGGTTCACATTTAATGGGGGAGACACTAGATAGAGTTTCATGACTGTGGGCATCATTATGGGGTCAATTTGAAGAATCCTTCTATCTCCAGCTAGAGGTATAAGCAAGTGGCTGGGAGCTTAACAGAGGATGGGGACTGTGAGCCTCCTTATTTAGGGAGCAGACTTTCACTTCGTGTTTTTAGACTGGTGTCTTACTCCTGTCTTCCACTGTAGCTGGTATCTCCATGGTTTTCAATTCCCCTGCCTCAGTTTCTCTGTCTAACCCAGCCTTTTTCAACCAGGGTTCCAAAGAGATGTAAACCCTGATGCCATTCTATTGTACGGAATGAACTAACTTCTCTATATCTAGAATGGAATTAGCTCTGTATCATCCTGAGGGAAAATAGAGAAAGTAATCACTCAAATTGTTTTCTCTTGGGCTCCTCTTCTGGAACATTGGTTAGGAAAGGCTGTTGGAGAAACCACCTCTCTCAGGGTGTTCTGGCAAACCTGCCTTTGTTGGGGGGGGGGCATGTATTTGATCTGCCATATTTATCTTAGTTTTATTTTAAAAATTTTTAGTTATGTGTACAGAGTAGATGTATATATGTATGGGGTATATGAGGTATTTTGATACAGGTATGCAGTGTGTAATAATCAGGGTAATGGGGTATCTATTACCCAAGCATTTATCATTTCTTTACAAACATTCCAATTCTACTCTTTTATTTAAAAATGTGCAAAAGATAATTGCTGACTGCAGTCACCCTGTTGTGCTATCAAATACTAGATCTTATTAATTCTGTCTAACTATATTTGAACCCATTAACCACCTCCACTGCCCTTCTCCCCAGCTTAGTGAGGCTGGAGTGCAGTGGTGCTATCTCGGCTCACTGCAACCTCCACCTCTTGGGTTCAAGTGATTCTCCTGCCTCAGCCTCCGGAGTAGCTGGGATTGCAGGTGTGCTCCACTACACCACGTTAATTTTTTTTTTTTTTTTTTTTTTGTATATTTGGCAGAGATGAGGTTTCGCCATCTTGGTCAGGCTGGTCTCGAATTTGGGGGCTCAAGTGATCCCTCCGCCTCGGCCTCCCAAAGTGCTGGGATTACAGGCTGAGCCACTGCGCCTGGCCCGCTTAGTGAGTTTTAAAACAAAACTGGACAGCAGGTCAAGATGCAGTCACTGATTTTTGTTGGGTCCTAATCACTGGGCTTTGGAGCTCTGGGCATTGTGGGCACCAGACTGATGGGGGCGGGGGGATGGCGTTGCTTTGCCAGCGGTTCCTCAGCCAGACCCGGGTATTTTTAGGCGTCCTGTGGACGGTCGGGAGGGGCTTCCTGGAGGGCTAGTTCCAGGAACGAATTCAAAGGAGGAAAGGGCGGCAGCTTCCGGCTGCTTCCCAAGAGGACTGGGAAATGCGAATCGGGAGGTTCCTCCGTTGTAAGTCCCTTCGGCGGGCGACGTGGGCGCTGTGGCTGTGGCCCCCGTGGAGCCTGAGCCCTCTGCAGCTGGCGGGAGAGGCCGGGGACCCTGGGGGGAGCGTGGTTCAGACACTGAGGGGGCCGGTGGCATCAGGTCCCTTTCAGCCCTTTGCGATGCACCCATGGTGTCCGCGCGCTGTGAAACCGGGAATTGTTGGGTGCGGGAGCCAAACCGGTTTGGAGAGTGCAGCCGTCTACGCAGGAGAGGCTGGAAACCCCCCAGCCCTGGGCAGGGGTCCCTGGCGGCTCCCGGGTGACCCACGGCGCCCTCGAAGATGCAGGCGGACGCCCGCGTGTCCTGCTAGCGTGATGTCGCGGGGGTGGCCACGGAGTCCTCACGGGGACCCCACTCGCCGGGGCTCATGGAGGGGACCCCGACGGGGCGTTCAGGGCTGAGGTTTCCTAATCCCGTGCGTTTTTTTCTTTTCCCCGACGCCCAGCGGAGGAGCCCTCGGAGGCACCCTCGCCCCCGCCACCCGCAGAGACCCCCAAGGAGCCGCCGCAGCCCGAGCCCACCCCGCCAAGGCCCAGCGGCCCCGCAACCCCGGAGGACCCTGCGCGACGGCCGCCCGCGGGCCAGCGGCCCGTCCTGCCCCAGCGGCCCGTCCTGCCCCAGCGGCCCCTGCAGCCGCGGCCCCCCGAGGAGAGGCCGCCCCTGCCCGCCTGGCCCGGCCGGACCGCGCGGCCCCAGCTGCCGGGCTCCACTGGGGTCATCATGGAGACGGGCCAGGCCGGGCCTCCCGCAGGCGCGGGCGTGTCGGGGCGGGGCCTGCCGCGGGGTGTGGACGGCCACACCGGGAGCGGGACCGTCCCCAGCGCGGAAGGCTTTGCGGGCGCACCAGGTGAGGCCCAGGGCTGCGCGGGGAGGAGCGTGGGGAGAAGTGCGGGGCTCGTCCAGACCTTCCACCTGAGCCTCGGGGTCTGCTGAGGGGCTTGGCGGGCCGGGGTCCAGCCTTCAGGGGACAAGTTCAGAAGTGCAGCTTTGGAGGGATGCCGAGGCCTGAGGGATCACTCATGCCAATCCAGCACGCGGAGGCTGGGGCGCCTCAGGGACAGTGCAGTCGTCCATACTTAGAATGGCCCGGCCGGCTGGAGTACCAGTGCCACATGGCAGCTCACTGATTCCCAGCAGGAAGGATCTTGGAAGCCACAAGGGTATTGGGAGCTTGGGTAGGAGCAAAGCAGGTGGCACAGCAGCCTGGCTAGGCAGGAGGGCTGTCAACCACAGGCTTTGGGACTCGGGGCAGCTTCCTGAGCTCTCTGAGCTTCCTTCAACCACAAAAGAGGAGAGTGCAGGACCTCAGAGGGTTACTGTGAGGATGGAGAAAGCCCAGTTCAGTGCCCCACTGGGAAGTGCTCCCCATGAGTTGTGAATGTCCACACCATTACTGTGATGGTGACAGTGGGGGTGGTGTCACAGTACAGACAGGAGCAGAAGGAAGTGAGCATTTGTGGGATTCCACGAGCCAGGGACTGAACCGCAACCTGATCTCCTGCACCCCTCCCAGCTGCACCATGAAGCCAGTGTTGTTTTACAGATGAGGAAACTGAGATTTGTGGCCATAACAGATGAACAGATGACCCTGAATGCGGCAGATCATGTCACCTGCCATAGATACATGCATAGAACAATGCAAACCAGTCCCCTCTGAGTCTGACCAGGCCTGACCATCAGGGACATGCAGACACTGGCAGGGCTGGGGTCGTTCCCCATCAGTGATAGCCTGGTGCACCCGTGGCCCCTGATGCCCATGGCTGTCTGGAAGGCCGGGTCGCTGCTGAGAAGACAGGAAGACATTTTCTCTCACCAGCTCTCTTTCTTCTATTCCTTCTAAGACACCTGAGCTGCAGGGATCACAGCTCTTAGGCAGATGTCCTGTGTTTTCCAAGATAACACTAATCTTCTGTTAGTTCCATGTATCATGGATGCTTAGGCTCTCTTGGGCTATTTGTTCACTCATTCATCCATCCATGCACCCTTGCATGCATGCAGCACTCACCCATACATGTATCTGTGCATCCCTTCCATCCATCCACCCATCCACCCACCCACATATCTATCCATGTATCCACCCATCAACACATCCATCCACCAATCTATGCATCTATCCATCCACCCACATATGCATCCTCATATGCAGAGGCTGGGGCACCCCAGGGACCCACGCACCCATGTATCCATGCACATATCTATCCACCCACCCATGCATGTGCACATCCCTCCACGCATCAAGCTGTGCACTCTTCCCTGCATGTATCCACTCATCTATTTGTCCCTGCACTTATGCACCCACCCATCCATGCCTCCATTTGATAAGGACTGTGTTCAGTCTAGCTGAAGCCAAAGCTCTTGAACAGATAACACTGCTAGAGGGCAAATGTTAGCTGGCTTGTGTGACTCTCTCAGTCGCAGAGAAGTCTTCAAGGCTGCAGCACCCATCTCTTTCTTTCCTGCAGCCAGCTTGCCCTCAGTGCCCTCTTCCCTGCCAGGGATAAATGGGCTAGCGAGGAAGCAGGGACAGGCTGGCACAAATGTACCCCTGCTTCTAGGAGGGCAGTGACAGTGGGTGCCCTTGTTCTATGTCTCTTTAATAGTGAAGACTCGATTTGAACTTGTGACGGAGGAGCAAGGAGAAAAAAGGGGGCTCAGAACAAGGAGCTGGTGCTTAGGATCTTGTTTGACATGCCATTTCCTTTTTGTTTTTCAGGATACCCAAGGTCACCTCCTGTAGCTTCCCCAGGTACGTCTGCTGAGAGACCAGGGGCAGGAGGAGCGGTCTCCTTGGTGGCCTCTGCCCCTCCTCTGCATTTCCTGCCTCCTCCCTCCAAGCTATTAGCACAGATCAAGCCTGGGCCCAGCCCTTCCCCACCCACCAGCACTGGGACAGCCCTCAGCTGACTACAGTGGACTAAATTCCCCAAGGTTTGCTCCCAAAAGAGGGCCAGAGTCAGGCCCAAGACGAGGAATCTTTCTTCCTCCATCATCCCAGCTCATTGAGTTTCCCAAGGGGATCACTGGGTGGGCCTCTGCCCTTGTGTGGTCCTGATGAGCTTCCTGGGGCTCCAGGTTTTATTGATTTATTAGGAAGCAGCTCCCTAGATGATGATGCACCCACTGCCTGGCCTGGCCTCCTAACACGTGCGCTCACGAGTGTGCGTGCACACACACACACACACACACCCATCCATATGCTTACATGCCCAGCCTCACACACACCCTCCTAACAAGAGCTTGTCCAGTTTCTCAGATTCCTCAGCTGTCCTGCCTGCTGATCTCAGACAGGGACCCTCTGGCTCTCGGGCGTGAGGACTTTGCTTCACCACTTTGGGTGAAATAAAATGGGCCTGACACGTAGGCTTCAGTTTTCCAGGCCCTCCCGCTAGAGGACAGAAGCATCCAGGTCAATCCATTCCATCCTTTCTCTGCTCCAGGAGCTCCGGTGCCTTCTCTGGTGTCTTTTTCTGCGGGCCTCACCCAGAAGCCTTTCCCCAGCGATGGGGGCGTTGTCCTCTTTAACAAAGTGCTGGTGAACGACGGGGACGTTTACAACCCCAGCACGGGTGAGTGAGTGAAGGGAACTGGTACTGTGTCCTCCTCCTACTCCAGTGCAGGTGGGACCCACCATGGCTGGCTGCTTTCCAGGGTCCCGTGGGCTCAGGGAGCAGATGCCTGAGTGGGCCTGCACTCCTCTGCCCCACTCTGGGCTTTCACGTAGTACGTTTCCCGGCTCGAGGGCTGCAGGCTGCATGGGTGTGTAACATTTTCTAGTGGTGAGGTCAACACGCCAGTCCTCAGTGTTCACCACTGGGGTTGCTATTCATTTTTTATGGCAGTTACGAGGGCTCTGCCAGCATAGCCCACCATGCCCTGGCCACCTCTGATAGCCACCGTTGCGCCCGTCTCTCTCGGGCTCCGACAGTCGTCCTGACACCCTGGGCCGACAAGCAGGAGGCTCCCTCAGGGTCTCCTGGTTTATGAACAGAGCCAAAGAAGGACTGCGCTCCCCAGAGGGCTGCATGCTCCGCCACACGGTCCCTTCAGCTGGGAGCCTGAGTCTACGTGCGGCGCCTGGCGGGTCCCCCTGCCCCAGGTTGTTTCTGGGGGTCCCAAGGATCATGGGTGTGGAGTTTACCTCTGAGTTCTGTGTCCATCAGCGTCCACCTGGGCTGGGCTGCTCTGCCCAGACCGAGGGCAGCTTCAAGGAAAGCAGGGCCCAAGGGTGCCTGGGCCCATCAGGACAGAAGCCCAGGCAGGTGTGGGGAGGTCCCCCTGGCCCGGGGTCTTTCCTGACCTCTCTCTGCCCTCAGCAGTCGCTGTTCTGCTTCCGTACTGTGAACAGGGCCTCCTGGAGCCGGGCGGGGCGGGGCAGTGGATTTCAGGGAGGCCTTGACACTCATAAGCCACTGGGAGGGAGGGAGACTTGGTTTCCTTCTTGGTAGTTTTTAGCCACCCCCAGCCTCACATTTGCCCTGTCTGGTCACTGTCTGGCTAAATCCCATCTGTCCTTAGGCAGTGGCTCTTAACTGTTAGGTTAGCAAGCCTAAGTTACCTGCAGAACTCAAGAGAAATGAATGATGAGTGCCCCGGGCTGATGAGGCTGAAGCTCGGCATGTAAGGCAGGTCAGGGCGAGAGGAACGCTGCTGACTTTCCCCCGCCGTGTAGCTTCCTCCGGGCCCCGCAGGCCTCCAGGCCTCTGCTCAGAGTGGCAGTGGCCTTTGGGATCAGTACGTCCGTGAAGGGGAATCCATATGGGTCTCAGTGCTTGCCGCCTCAGAAGAAAGAATCTGACCAAGGGGCATGAGGCAGAGCGAGACAGGCAAGTTTTAGAGCAGGAAAGTACACTCGTAAGATGGCCGGGTGGGTGACGAGAGATTCAAGTGCGGTCTGACCAGTGACTTGGGGTCTTATACATTGGCATGCTTCTGGGGGGCTGCGTCCCTTTCCTGATTCTTTCCTTGGGGAGCCGTCCACATGCACAGTGGCCTGCCAGCGCCTGAGAGGGGGCGTGTGCGGTGTTTCCTGGAGTTGTGTGCGTGCCCACGTGACATGTTCTTCCCATACCAGTCAAGTGCTCCCAGGAGGTCACACAGCAGTTAAACACCATTTAAACGTCATTTTTGCCTCTTAATGCGCATGCATGAGCTTCATCGCCCAACTCCAGAGATCTTATAGGGAAGCCGCTCATTACCAGCTTCAGGTTTTGTCTTGCGACTGCCTTTGTGGTGCTGGCTGCGACCAGTCATTAATTTAGAGAGACAGTTAACAATTGCGGGACCATCATCTGATGGTTGCCTGACATTCCTAGTTGGGGTAGGGGCTCTCCTGCCCTGCTTCCATCTGCCTGACTGTAACAAGGTCACCCTCCCCAGGTCACTCTGCACTGCCTTGGCCATAGGGATGGCTCATCTGCTTGGACAGGTCGGGTGGTGCTTGCAGGCAGGGACCGTGACCTACAGTCTCACATTCCCAGAGCTCCCTCTTGTCTTGCATGGAGCACGTGCAGAAAGGAAATTCTGGGTGAACTGAGGCTTCACCACAGGCGACTCTGAACAAAGGTGAAGGCCACACCTAAAATGCCAGGGCTGGCGCTGGCCTCAGGGCCAGGTGCCTTAGGAAGCCTCTGAAAAGCCCTGTTACTTGCTGTTCAAAGTTGGGAAAGGGACTGGGTAGCCGGGCCTCTTCTGTCCTCCAGAGCAGACTGAAGGCCTGGGTCCCTGAGAACCACTTTTTTTTTGTTTGTTTGAGGCAGAGTCTTGCTTTGTCGCCCAGGCTGGAGTGCAGTGGTGCCATCTCGGCTCACCGCAACCTCCGCCACGTGGATTCAAGGGATTCTCATGCCTCAGCCTCCCGAGTAGCTGGGACTACAGGTGCACACCACCATGCCCGTCTAAATATTTTTTGTATTTTTAGTAGAGATGGGGTTACCCATATTGGCCAGGCTGGTCTCAAACTCCTGACCTCAGGTGATCTGCCCACCTTGGCCTCCCAAAGTGCTGGGATTCCCACAGGCGTGAGCCACCACGAATGCACACTACTACTCTTTTTAGCTCCTGGGCCCTCTGTTTTATGTCCACTCTTGGCTTGTGGTCAGTGGCAAGGTCTGGTGTCCACTGCGGAGCCCGTGAGTGATGGCCATTCCTGCCAGCATTTGGTGTTGGCACTGACTCTCCTAGCTGTGGGGTCACCTACAGCTGCTTCTGCTTAGCAAATAGTGACATGTACAGATCTTTCCACCTTCCTCACCTTCGGCCACCACTTCCTTTCCCACCCCAGGCCCAGAATGTGTGGGTCATGGGCTAAGTATCAGTGCTCACTTCTGGCCATTGCCCAGTGCGGGGAGAATGGGCCTCTTATAGGAAGAGCCTGGCACGGCCCTGGGGTTACATGGTGCTGTGTCTGCCTCTCACTGGGTTGATGGCAAGCTTCGTTTTCATTGGCCCTGCCTCATGGATATTCTGCCCAGCAGCCAAGCTCTGAGGCTGACTTTAGCCCTTAGGTGCTTCTAATAAGGGAGAAATGCTCCAAGAGGCATTCTTAGGTCCGTGGCAAAAAGTGGTATGGGCTAAGGTGGCCTCTGCAGCACTGGTAAGCTGTAGGGGATGAGCATAAAAAGCAGCTGAGGTGGGCAGCCGGCTGCCGTGGGAAGACAGAGATGGCTCATCTCCCAGGCCCAGGTTAATCACTGGGGGGCCACGTACTGCCATGGCAACGGCTGTGACAACAGCAGGTTGTCACAGCAGGGTTTGCCTTTCTCCCCGCAGGCGTCTTCACGGCTCCTTACGATGGGCGCTACCTGATCACAGCCACCCTCACCCCCGAGAGAGACGCCTATGTGGAAGCAGTGCTATCGGTCTCCAACGCCAGCGTGGCCCGGCTGCATACCGCTGGGTACAGGAGAGAGTTCCTGGAGTACCACCGCCCCCCCGGGGCTTTGCACACCTGCGGGGGCCCGGGGGCATTCCACCTCATCGTGCACTTGAAGGCGGGAGATGCAGTCAACGTCGTGGTGACTGGGGGCAAGTTGGCTCACACAGACTTTGACGAAATGTACTCCACATTTAGTGGGGTTTTCTTATATCCTTTCCTTTCCCACCTCTAAGGTGGCTGGGGAGAGGTCAGGGGAAAGATAGTTGTAAAAACTCTAAAGCTTTAATATATTCGGTTTTGTATGTAATGGAAGCACGGGGCTAGAGTTTTCCGCCTATGTCCCACCACCTGTCCCTAACATAAAGGCCTTCCCTCGCTGCTGAGGCCACCATGCCTTACTGCATGCAGCCAGGCTGCGAAGCGTGAGGCACATGGTGAATGTGGCCACTGACTTTTCTGTCACTAACCGGACAACTGGAAGACTTGGAAAGGCCTTCACCTGTATCTACACTCTGGCAAGCTCAGACCCAGGGCCCTGGACTGGGTCTGAGCTTGCCACAGAGGCTCCGTCTGACTGTGGGCTGGGAGGAGGGAGGCAGGGGAGAGCTGGTCACTGTGGCTGGCTTTACTGCAGGGCAGCACTGTGGCCAGCTGGCTGTCTGGACACTGCACGCAGAAGTTGAAACACTGAAGGGCCGAAGTGGCCCGCACCGCCGCACAGAGACCCTGACTTTAGTGTGGGCTGTTCCACGCTTGGTTCGCCATTGCTGCCTGGGACTTACCTGCTCACTCGGGCCTTGGCTCAGCTGCAAATGGGGATACGTTAGAAACTGTTCCCAAAGCTTGTCCGGCTCCTTAAATGACATGTACAATTTAAGTGCAAAGACAGGGAGTGTCAATAAAGAGGTAAAGCCATTTCCAGTTACTTTTGTTAAGTGTGGTGCCTTCCGGATCAGGAATTGTTGCTAAAAAGCAAACTGTAGAAATTTGTTTCAAAAAGGGCCACAGAAAGTAATCCTGAATAACATTAATCTCAGCTACAAAACTGTTACCCCTTCGCATTCGAGCTGTACACTTGGGTTTTGTTTCTGGCTTGTGAAGACGGACCAGATGTGCACAGAGGTCAAGGCCCCATGTGATCTGCAGCTGGAGCGGCTCCTCTGGGGATGCTGCACTCAGACCCCACAGCAGCTGCCCAGGCTAACGGAATCCCTGCTGCTTCACTGCACCACTCTCCAGCAGCCACAGCTCGCCCAGCGCTCGGGTTTCTAAGCAGCAGGAGGCTCAACCTAACGCTGGCCACACGCTGACAGCTGAGCCCATCTGAGAACACGGCATCGTCACACAGCGAGACGCCTCCACTGAGGGGAGGCCCAGGAGTATTGATCTGTCACCAGTGGCCACAGAGACCTCTCAGCACCCTCAGTTCAAGGTAGTCTCTATGGATCAGGTTGGTAAAACCTACTGGTTAATCAAGTCCCCCTGGGGAAAGGTTTGGACAGTAGAAACAACAGCTGCAGTTTCCTTGGCCCAGAAGATGATCTTACGCTGTAAAAAATGCTTTAAGAACTGTTTGCAAATGAATTTACAGAGTGGCCACTGGACACTTCAGAGTTCCTATTTATTTATTCCCCCAGCCACAGCTAGGTAAGATATGAGCAAGAACTAAAGATTTTCCATTTTACTATTTAAAATTTGGATCTCTTTGTCCAGGAGCGGGAGGCAGAATGGCATCTCACCCCGTTACCACAGCTGGTGAACTGGCTCAAGGGAGCTGTCAGAGTATCCTTGGCTGTCCTAGGAATGACTCATGGAAAAAGCCCCAGTGTAGCAGTGTCTTCAGGACAACCCAGCCGCCACGAGCCATCGCCCTCTCCCCTCACGCTCCTTTTGAAAAGACCGCACTCAGCGCCCAAGGGGACGTGCTCAAGAGCTGCAGGGGCAGGGCCCAGGCAGAAGGTGGGTGGTGACTACCTGCTGCTTTCCCTACTCCGCAGAAGGGTCTGGAACATCGGGTAAAACCCAGTCCTCCTGTCTGTGCGTCTCTACTCACCAACAAAGGTGAATCTCAGCTCTGTGTATTCAAGACGGGCAAAACTGAATACGCCTCATCACGGCTGGAGCCTGCCTCTACTTTGAGATAAAGCAGGATGACAGCTGGATCCTGGCCCCCTTAGGAGACGTCTTTAGAAAGGGAAAGGCTGTCTTTTTGTACAGGCAGCAGAACAAGGTCAGCTGAGCTTAAGGCTGTGGGGTTCGGAGCAGCCCTTCAAGTCATCACCCCTGAAGTAGCATGCCTGGGAGTCAGAGGCATACCAAACCCTGAGACATAATCGGGAACAAGTTCACTACTTTTTTTTTTTCTTTTGAGATGGGGTCTTACTCTGTTGCCCAGGCTGGAGTGCAGTGGTGTGATCTCGGCTCAGTGCAACCTCTGCCTCCTGGGTTCAAGCAATTCTCCTACCTCAGCCTCCCGAGTAGTTGGGACTACAGGTGCATGCCGCTACGCTCGGTTAATTTTGTGTATTTTAGCAGAGACGGGTTTCACCGTGTTGCCCAGGCTGGTTGCGAGCTCCTGAGCTCAGGCAATCTGTCCACTTCGGCCTCCCAAAAGTGCTGGGATTACAGGTGTGAGCCACCACGCCCAGCCAAGTTCACAACTTCTGATACCAAGTTGTTGCTGAGAAAAGGTCAGGACACTTCTTAAGTAGAGGACTGTGACATCCCCTCCTCACCTCCAGGTAACACTGACAAATGGCCTCATTTACATGATTAAAAACAAAATGGTATCGTCAATAAATGGAAACCTTAAACTGCATTTGAAATTACTTCCTGGTTGGCATGTTAATCTAGCTTTCCCAGATGACTAATTTTCTCACAATTTATGTATTTGCAGCTTGACAGGGAGTATTTGTGATTGGAGTCACTGAAGCTCATGCCTGTAGCTTGGAAACCCAGCTTTGCACATATCCATACCACAGCCCCTTTTCAAACATAAATGTGTATTTTCCTTATACCATCCTATAAACGGGAAGGAAAAGGGAAGGACACACGCCAACTCCAGTGGGTGCAGGGCACAACAGAAAGAAGCCACGCACAGGCACATCCTCAGAGCTCAGGGATGCAAAGTCCACTGCTCCCCTGAAGCCCTCAAAGCTGCTCTGGGTAAAGACCATTTCCTTTGTAACCAATTTCCCTGAGCTCTTCTTTTGTGTTCCTAAAGACCCATGGTTGCCATCACGTCATGGTGGGGAGGCATGAAATGCAAAACGTTTCCATCCTGAACACGCTCCTGTCGAGGGCCTTTGGGATGCAGGGCTCAGCAATCTGAGAGGACAAAAGGTCAGTATTTAAATAATAGATGAGATGTGGTTTTGATCAAAGTTCCCTCTGACTCTGTGATGGAAACATCAGGATTGATTGCTAAATCGTATCCACCCTGAGGAACGGTTTAAGGAAAGGTAGGGTGTCCAGGGGCCCTGGACAGGACTCCCAGGGAATTCAAGGGCTTAGGGATAGGAGGTAAACACAGCCTCCTGGACAGCCGTGAGACCACAGCACAAGTCACATAGGATGGGTCACTTCCTGGCAGAAGGTACAAAGCAAGAGGTTAGTTCCTGGGGGTGTAGCTATACTTCTGGAGCCAGGTTTTAAGAATAAGCAACAAAAAGGAGCTCCTCCTGTAGACAAATTTAAGTGTCAGCAACGATCAAGATACTAATTTATGGAAATTACCAATTTCTGGCAAGAATCTAAAAAGATGGTTTCAATGTCCCCTGAAGAAAAGAGCCGAAAGCATTCAGTGTATGTTCGTTTATTGTTGTAACATTTTGTTTTGAACATCAAACACTGCACCAAAATATGAGCCATTCATCTTGCGACAATTGCTTTACTGTAACTAAGAGTACTGTACTGATGTTTACAATTAATTAACTTTGGACAACTTAAAACTTATTAGTGATGTTGCTGTCTAATAATCAAATACTTCATCATAGGCTGAACATAATTATTAAAAGAGCAAAGTTTCCCCTCCCTTTCTTTCAAACAAAACCAAAAGAGTAGTTTTCACCTGGAAAGAGCACTTACTTCAGGAAAAGACTCAATTTTTAACCAATTTTATTAAACCCCGGAAGCTCAAAACCATGGGAAAACATCATAGGATGATAAACATGAAACTCCCTGGATGTCCGTTTTTGCCAATTTGCAAAAAGTGACAGAGCCGACTTTGTTTGTTCTTTAAAGGGTTGGCCTGCACCCACAGTGCCAACTGTGGAAGGGCTGTGTGCAGGCCCTAGTCACAGGGGCTATTCAGGGCCAGCACTTCCCAGTCATCCTATCTCCTTTGTCCCTCGCTTGTTCTGTGACTTTGAGCTGCTTTCATTTTAGGACATCCCATTTTTAAGTTTTTTCTTTTTCCAGCTGAAAACTACGCAGATGTTTTTAGACAGAGCAAAACGCAACACAGCACCCAAACATGGAGGCAGCCTGCATGCTCCAGGTCTACACGAGCACCTCACAGCCGGACAAGAGGCAGACAGCAACTCACACAGGACGAGCCTCAGCACACAGACAGCAAAGCAGATACGAGACTTAGACTGAACTGCAAAGAGGGAAAGGGCCACTTCACCAATGGAGTAACTGAGAGAATAATGACTTAAGAGCCCAATCTGCCTGCCATCTCCCTGAGCTGTCACCCGTCACTGAAGATAGCGCGAGGGTGATGCTTCAACTCACCATCCTAAGGGTTTGTGTACAAACACACTCGAGGGCATCTCTTTCACAGAAAGAACAAATGGCATTTGTACCAAATGGCAATGGATTTTCAGCACAAACTTAATACTTTCCTAACACTACAGCAATAGTAATCATGTACTTTCAGCAAGAGGGACTCCTTTAAACAAGGAAAAAGACTCACATTAATTAGCCTATGTACCCACTGGATCAATCTGTGTAGCAACAAAGTCTAGTGCTAGCAGACACAGGGACAGAGGGACCAGCTACCCTCAACACAGGGCCAGGAGAGCCGGGGCCTAGAGTGAACCCTCTAAGAAGGCCCATGTGTCCAAAGAGAAGAACTGTCAAGAAAAACTAGTCAAAAACTCTTTAAAGGACAACCTAAAAAGGATTAAAGATGTATATTGATTTTTCAGTACCATACATATGCAAAGAAGTCCTACTATAAGCTCAGTTAAGCACATAAAGCTCTCATTCTTCCTCTAAATAGAAGGCAGTCAAGAGGACACACAGATGGCAGCTATGAAATAAGGTGGCTGCATGGCTGCTGTACTAGAATTTTAATTCACAAACTGGGTAGAACTTCATATAAACAGAACCCAGGATCCCTAACCTACTGTACATAAATAAACTCATTAAACAAATAGTCCTTGTGAACTATTTAAACTGGGGGAAGCTTTGCATGGGAGAAGGCTCATGTGGTCCCTTCTCTGGGAAGGTGAGCCTTCCTAGGTTTTGCCACTGAGAACTGTGTTTAGGGGATTTCAACACTGTCTCTGCATCCAACAGCACTAGGAAAAATGGCTGAAATCAGTCAGGGACTTTCAACTCTCCAATCTGGAAAAATATCCACCCCTATTTTCTCTATCTCTAGATCAGCATTATTTTAGGTGAAGCAAACTAAAACATGTAGAAGTTGCACTAGAACGGCAGGGGCATGAAGAGTTGGCCATGAGACCACCCCGAGCACCAAGCCTGGATCTGCAGATCCCTCTCTGCTCAGGAACCACCACGTCCTGTGTTCTTGCCCATGGAGACCAAGACCTGGGGTTGGTTCTGGGCTCCTGCCAGTTCTCTCGATTTTACAGTGCAGCTCTGTCAACACTCAGCATACCAAAAGCTCTAGAGCAGCTTATGGCACACCTTTCCCTAGTGCCATCTCTTCAGATGTGATGTGAGCTCATTACAACCGCATCAGTAAATGGAGCTACCATGGATATTTTAGTGAAAATACACAGGCACCCGTGTCCCCATGGGGTGTCTCAGGGCTGGGCTGGGGACACTGCTCGGGGTCAGTCTGCTCCATAGGAGCTCCAAGATCCCTCTTGGACACGGTTTTCACGGGCCCGATTACAGGGCGTGATTCCAAAAGCCAAAGTCACACACTGCTAGCCAGTGCCCTTAAGCAGCTTCACTGTGCTTCCCTGACAAGTCTGAATCACGGAATTTTACAAGTCCTGTCCCAGAGCAAGACGTTTTCCAAAGGCCCGCACCAGGCAGCAAGCAGAGGGATCCAGCGCTCTTTCCAGGACCCACTCAACTGCCTATCTGCATTTCTGAGGTCTCCTAAAAGCAGAGTTGTTTGGGGGGGTGGGGGAGTTTGGTTTTCCTTAAGACCCACCTTCCCACTGTTATTACAGACATCAAATATCTACCTGTGAGACCTGTTCTTCTGGTGGGGTCTAAGAAATAACTTAAAGGGCTCGTGGAGTCGTCACAGATGAGAGGAGGATGCTCTGTGGGGATCTTTCCCCAAAGAGGGCCAGGTTTATGGGACTGGGCTCAGTGGCTCTGGTGCATGGGCCCTATGGGGGGTGGGGGTCCTGCCCAACTTGGCCCACTGGAGCCGCTGACTTCTTCAGTGTAGCAGGAAATGAGGCGCCCAGAGAAGAAACGTGCACAGGCAGCTTCAGCCAGCATCACTGACTGGGCCTGCAGCAGTTCAGGGACCCTGACAGCCCCAGTTAGAGAAGCCACCTCAACTGCCCAGTGGAAACTGTAACACTGCCCTGTGTGCAGTGGTTTGGTCCACTCTTTTTTAGCTGCTTTTCTCTTCCTTTAAAATGATGCAATGGAAGTAGCCCCTAGCTCACAGCAGGAAACGTGTAGCAACCCACGGAGGAGGGATCCCAGGCCTCCAGCCCCAGCCCAGTTCCTCCCTTCTCCTTCCAGTTGCTGAGCTGCAGACCTGCCGAGCCTCAGCAGCCAGCCTGGGAAGGCAAAGGAGGGTGGTGGGACCAGCTCCAGGAGCGCCTGTCCCCGCTGGGGAAGGCTGGTATCCGAGGTCAGCAGAAGAGCCAGCCACCTTCCCTTGCTGTGGGGAGGGGGACCGAGCCCTGCCCACCCACTGAGGTGCCGCCTCAGGACAGGTCATCCAGGTCCACTTCAGGGATCGGGTCTCGCCAGTAGCAGAAGGAGCTGAACTCCGGGCAGGGAAAAGCAGAATTCTGCTCCTTACTGAGAAGGGGGAACACATGCTCCACGAGCTCACTCAGCCTGTGATACCTAAGAGAAGGGTTGGGGAAGAGGCACAGGCTATCACTTCAAGATCGGTCAAAGGCACAAGACGGGGGGCTGTGAAGCTGTCACTCAGATTGCTCAGACGGGCAGGTTCAGAGGCAGGCCCCAGTCCCATCCCAGGGCTCAAACTCCCTCTTACAAGTCTAGGAGAACCAGGGACCCCTCAAATAGTTATTGTGAAAGAGCGATACCCAGAGATGTAGTGATCCTTTGATTGGGGCCTGATCTCAAGGATCGATCGGGGGGAAAGGGACAGGGTCTGTCTGTCCCCAGTTGCACCCCTGGCTGCAGGGCGCTGGGCTGAGAGCTGAGAATGTACTTACGATGACTTGTTTCCTTTGGTTCTTTCTTGTATTAATTCACCCTTGGGGTTCACGGTGAATATTCTACAGTCTGGAACTCCAACTTGTGTGTAGGCATAGACATCCTGCAGAAGAAAATAGCAAGCAGATTCCAGGGAGGAGAACTCAGGAGGTGCTTCTCAGGCTCCTCGTGAGCCAGCAGCGCTGCACAGACTCGACAGAAAACGTGTGGAGGCGGCACAGTGCCGTTGCCACCGAAACT